TTTTTAAATCTAAGATTTGAAAATTTTTATTAATCTATAATATATCCTAGACAGATAAACCGTCTTCGCACAGATCCCGTTTTTCGTATACAATTATATAATATCATTGGAATCAAATTTAATTCCATCCATTACAGTAGGTGGGTTACTACCTGTAACAGCTACTGTACAACAGAGCGATATCCACGACTTACCAGCTTATTTTATTATTAATCTATAATAATTACAAAATGTTGGTCTTATATATGGGGATACATTATGTTTAACAGAAGTGGGAGTTGGTGAAGTACATGTGTATTTTTTACAGAAAATTGGACCTTCCTTTTTTTTTATAAATTGCAACTGTGTTAAATGGGAGTGTCTATTCGAGTCCTTAAAAAAWAATAACTAATAACGTGGTATATAATAACTTGTAATAACATAACTACATTTTCATTGTCTGGATTTAGATGAGGGRGATTTCCATGGGTCTWTTGATGTTTTGATTTCTTTGAGCTTGTTTGTATTTAAAAATATATTATATTATATTATAATTTAATGTAATATGTTATTTAATACAAATATAAGTCGTTATAAAAAGAATCTGAGAGTATACAGGATGATTTTTTTATCGAAGAACACTCATACTCATACACTCATACTTTTTTAAATAATGAGTGTTCTTCGATAAAAAATTCACCCTGTATATTATGTCTCGAAGATTAACATTTTTTCGAATGCCAACAAAATAACTAAAATAGATATTTATTGTTTAAATATTAGATTTCTACAAAATTTGAATATTTAACCATAACAATATTTAGTTACCTACTAATATTTTATATCTTAAAATTGTCATAAGAAAAACTCATGAGAAACCTGATTTATAATTTTCAAGGCTTATTATGATTTTAAGGTAGGTACGTATTACAGTTGAAAATGATTAGATTTTTTACTTAAAAAATAATTTCCTAAATTCCRTATTTTTGAAAAAAATTTCAAAATTCCTAATTCAAACACTTAAAAAATGAGACAAATTATTTTTAATATTTTTCAATTTTTATGAGAACAACTTATGAGGAACCTTGAATTTCAGTTCCAAGCTTAATAACCATAAAACGAAAATTTTGTCATCATTAATCGAAAAAAGTGTAACATTTAAAATATATTTTATAAATAATTTAAGAAATATTGTAAAATAGTTTGAAAAATGAAAATTAGAAAATCATATCCTGTTTAGAAATATAGACAATAAATATGGTACTACCTATTATTAATTAAAAGCTATAGTAAAAATTACATCAGATTTTCTATTAGAAACTCGAAWATGTGATTTCAGTCACACTCACACACATATAATATAAACACCGTTGTAAATCCAATAAATTAATTTTCATATCTCCCGCAATAAGAATCTAAAATTTGGTTTTTAGGATAAATTTTAAACATAAAAACATATAGAATAATGTTAAATTCAGTTATATTATGTAACATATTATTTTAAGTTTAAATAGTTAAGGTGTTATGGTACCTACCACTAATATTGAAAATTATATGATGAGCTTAATATGCTTATGACATATTATAATATATTAATTATTAGTTGAATTGTTTATCTTTTATTCTGAACTGCAAGAATATCAAATGGTTGTCAATTAAATGATTTTGACTACTTTCACTTAAGTTTTATTTTGTTCACTTTCACCATTACTGAATAGTAATGTATTCCGTGGAACCACTAATATCCGTATTCATTTACACACATTATGAATACCTAATATATAATATAGTATGAATGGAAATTTACATGTAGGTTCAATAAGATCTTATGGCTTATAACAATATATTTTAACGTAAAACAATATTTGCACTTATTATTAGTTAAACGTGTTAGACTTAAAGTAGGTAATGCAAGGGAAATAGATACATTGTGCATTGATTAAATACCCATGATTTTTTTCTATTATACCTACATTTTAATATAATACGCAATAAAATATGATAAATTCACAATATATTATTCTAAAAATTAATTGATTTAAAAAAGAATCAAAAATTTAGCCTAAACTGTTTTATTTACATGTACATTTAATTATTTACATTAACTGTTTTCCGTGGCATTATAATTTGTGTTTATATATATTTTGATRATAATTATTTTTCGGGGATACCCGATCATAAATTTATATAATGGCTAATATGGTTATGAAAACTGTTTGCTATTTATCAAAGAAAATATAATGTGTATAATTCATGCATAGTGCATATCGACGTAGTAGCCGCAAAATGGGACATGGGAAGTGGGTGTGCGTGTTTCAGCACCATAGTAGTAAAACACTAAAAATAATTTTAAAAATTAGTTGTTTCTCTGTTTTGTGAAATGTTTTTATTATACGACGTTTTAATCAAAAAAATTAATATGTATATGTTGTTACAAGTTGCTCTAACTGCGCAGTATTTCTGTAAGTGTATAAATTCGATACGTGTGTAGAAATAATAAGCTTTTCGTTGATGTGCCGTTTAAAAATCTGGTCAAGGGTACGTGTGGAGCAACTGCGCCTCATAAATGTACTGTATTATAATATTAAACATTTGAAAATAATATAAATGACAAAATTATCCAAATACCGAATTAGTATTCCTCTACGGAAATATAATGTTGAGCCATTATCATGACATTGAAGATTTACGAAATTTACGTATATATTATATGTAGGTATMTACCTAACGTTTCTTGATTAAACGCGATAGTCTTGATCATAATATATTGTAATAATATCGGCGAGTATTCCGTGTCCTGCGTGTTTTTATATGTGTCGTGACGAAGTGTTGCTGCAAAAAAACCTTTCTGGTCRCTGCAGACGAACGTACACACTACAGCTGGCGTCAATTATATATTATAATTTATTTTTTGTTGGTATAGTTTTACTATTCATTATTATCATTATTAATGTGTGTTATAAAAAAATAAATATTATTCCCATCACTATTAGGTGGTACTGCTATTGGTACACTAGTCACCAGAGGTCTACTGAACGACAGCAATCGTCCGCAACAGCAAGCTATGACAGGTGGCCATGACGGTGGCGGTTGTAGTCTCGTAACTACACATTAACCGGTTTAGCCATCACTTTCTACCGTTGGGCCATCTTAGCTAGTCGGTATGGAGTTGTCTGCACACACGGTGAGCGCGCACCGACGTGAACGTTGCGCAGTCATTCGCTCGCCTCGCGCCGCGTAGCYCACGAATTTCGACGGACGTCCGGCTCGAACACATTTTCCTGTAATATTGTTTTAAAATTTAAGATTTTCTACGACCCGCTCGGTGTTCCCTAGCGATAGCCCAGCCGCAATCGAACGAAACGACGACGACAATATTGTCATATATATATACTATAAATTACCTACTTTACAAGTAAGACTCGAATAAAACGGTCAAAAACTATAATTATTTTTATTATGTTTATTGATTTTCCTTATTTTTTTTTATTACGGCGCAAACAATGCGCGTCTGCTGCGTATACATGCAATAATAATGTGTTATTTTATCGATCGACACAGTGTCGGACACAACGAAAACTGACGATGCCGCGGCGAAGAAGTTCAAGACCATCATGATAGACGGAAGCAACGTGYCAGTGGACACCACGCGGCCCAAAGATGTTCCAGAATGGTTCGACGCGAAATTGTTCGCCAGGTAAAACCATCTCACTATTACTGTCACTCTACTGCTAACACATTAAATTTCGGTTATCGAGCTTTTACTAATTAAAATATTTAAATTACGCGACAATGTTGAGAAAAAAAAATTATGATTTTAAAAATTCGTTTTTTACGAACCGTTCTAAAAATGTTGTTATTATATCTATAGACTATATTACCTGCCTTAYCTACGCAACTACTTTATGATGTTAACTATACAAAAAAATAACAGCAAAACTATTATAGGAACAAGCGAACTAACCAAAACTGTTCAATAAATTTCGAGAATATTAATTATTTATAAGTACCTATACTTAAATAATGTTTTGTATATATACGTATATGGTATGCATAATATATGGTGTATTACTATTCTTGTAATGAGCTTAACATTGATATAGGTAGTTTTGTTGGTTTTTATTTTGATTGTATATTATGCGGACTGCATCCATAAAAAAAAATACACCACATTGTTATATGCTGCAGTTGTAATGACACACAGTTGTAATATACTAATATACTTAATCCATAACGTAGTTTACAATATTTCTTGGTAGTTATTGCTGTAATACCAATTTTGTAATTACAATCCATAAATATGTTATGCAGTTATGAACATATAATGTGACTATGTGAGTTATAAATTATAATAAGCAATATTACCTATTACTAATGTATTAATTAAGGTATAGAATATACGTGAATTGTTTTTGCAATACTTAAATCGAAATATTATAATAATATATTTGTATACGCAAATCAAATTTCACAATAAGGTATTTTTTTAACGTCTTTAAATGTGCATGCGGAATATTAATTAGAAAATAGAATAGAAGATTGGAACGCATTCAAGTTTTGGATCTTTAAAATAAAACTATTATCATTCAAATCATCGAATATATTAATTTCACATGATCGTAAAAACCTAAACATTGAACAAAAAGATTAGTTTTATGTGTAATGTGGTTAATCAATTTGATTAAGTTTTATCAAAATTATTTTAGTTTATTACGAATAAATGTGGTAAAATCATTTGGTCAAAATACATATTTTTAAAATAGATGTAATTAATCACCTTTATGATATATTATAGGTTAAAAATAAAAGATGTATGAAACACCTAAAACACTATAAATTATCGACAGGTTAAAGTGTTAAATTTGAACATTAATAAAATATCTAATAGAAAATTACTAATGATTATTGATTTTTAAATCATAAATTCTAATTAAATAATTAATTGGCAAAAAATATTTATAAAAATAATAAGACTTAAAATTATATAACTAAACAAGCAATCGTTTATTTAATTAGTCATCATAATAAACATTCTTAAAAGATATAATTTTCATGGTATATAAAATATTATTTCACTAAATATAATATAAGTTCAATTGTGCTTCTCTCGATTTAGATTCTAAGTAGATGTATCTATTGACTATTGATTTTAAATTGT